CGCAAACCTCTTTTCCCTAATTCAGCCGGTTCACTCATTTCGTCTTGTACTTCCCCCCCCCCCCTCGTCTGTTATTATCCTTCCCACGTGGCTGCTGTGGGATGAAGTAGCAGTGTAATGCTGGCCTCTGGGGAGGGGGAGCTAGTAGACGTCGTGCCCGTGGCACTGATACTCCAAGCAGGATGTCTAACCCTCCCCCAACCCCCACCCGGGTGCTCCCCGGGCTCCGAGCGTTTGTGTCACCCGGCTGGCTCGGTAAGCGTCCGCGTTTGCCCGCATTCAGGAGAAATGGGAGAACGCAGCTCAAGAGATGTGGATCGCATCCACCGAAGGAGTCTTTGAGCCGCCATCGCGTGGAGCGCCTCCGAGTTGACGGTGCAGAGAGTCGCTGTGTGTGGAGCCCTGTAATGGCTGCTGCTGCTGCTGTTTGAGGTAGGGGCCTGCCTGGCTTCTCCTCCTCTTCTCCACTTCTTCCCTCATAGTGGGATGGGAGTGCCCCCTTATGGTTGAGCTCAGCCCTGCAAACCTGGAGCCGGGGGGCCGGAGCCGCCTCCCTCCAAGCCGTCTGCGGCCTCCCCAGAATCTCCCCGTGCTCCTGGGTGCAGGTGTGCGCCCCTTCTGCAGGTGTCCGAGGCGTCACGCCACTGTCTCGTCTTCTTGTCCGACCCCTGGACACGTCAGTTCCCTGCGCGCTCGTTTGGGGAAAACGAGGAGACAAACTCCTCTGGTAACCGCGCAGGAGACATGGCTTGATCTTCGGCTTTAAAGATAAGCGATGGCTTTCTCCCATGACCTCGTTTGGGTATCAGGAGCCCACGTTCGCCCCGAGCGATCGGCCAATGTGCAGCGCCGGAGTGTTTCCAGCATCAAGGCCGTCTGCGTGTAAACATAAACATCTGGGACAAGACGGCGAGGAAGTTAAAGATTCCGCTGGTTTGTGTTTGTCCACTCTGTGTAGCCTGAGTGTGTGTGTGTGTGTGTGTGTGTGTGTCTGTCAGCTCTCCTCTGTGCATAAGGCCGGGAGGAGTGTGTAATTAAAGTGGTGGTGGAGCAGAAGCGGGGGTGGTGGGGGTGGAGGGGATGGGGGGGGCTTTGGTGCGTCTGCGTTTCCTGTAACAATGACGGGCTGCTTCTTTTGTAGTAGCTGACTGCACCGTGACCCTGCCAGGCACACAGGGAGGCCGAGAGAGAGAGAGGGGGAGAGAGAGAGAGAGAGAGAGGGAGACTGGAAGATAGACGGAGGCATGGCAGCAACAGGGGGGAGGGACTGTGTCTGCTCTAATGTGTCAACCACGTGGATCACAGTAACCATGGCAGCACTCGGGATGCAGCCATTTCTTCCAATTCAGACCCCCCCCCCCCTCTCCCTCCCCCTCTCCTACCCACCTCACCACAGAGGAGATGTGAGCAAGCCAGTCAAGACCGAGTGGGCTTTTTCTCTCCTTTTTTTTTTCGTTTCTTTTTTGACTGTTTATGGTGTTTAGCATCTGCAGGCCTGAGAATGAGGAAGCCTGTGAAGAGGCTCAAACCCTGAGGTCTGAGAATGACCGAGGAGAGTGTGTGACTGAGGGATGAACCCCCCCCACCCACAAACATCCTCTCCCTCCTCACCAGCACCAGATCTGGTTACACTACTTGCCGGGGTCACACATTCCTGATCTGTTTCATCATCTCAGGGCTGCTAAGCAACCTCTCTTCTTCCACTTTCTGTTTCTCATAACCTACAAAAAAAGAAAAGGAGAAATGGGCCGGCTTGGCAGACTAATGGCCCTGGTTGGGCTTGATTGATTCAGTGAAGTAATCTGCAAATGGAATACATTAGGACGGCGTGGAGAAGATGACTCTGAGGCAGCCAGGGCGCACGCCGAGGAGAAGTGGAGAGAATGTAGGAATTATGGAAACAGGGAAGACGTCTTTGCATTGGAAGATATGCTTTTGAATATTTGAATATATATATATTTTTATTATTATAGAATTTTCCACCCTGCGATTTCTTTTTTTTCTTTTTTTCTTTGCCTGCCTTCCACCCTCCAACGTGGTGAACACGGTCCTGCAGTCCTCAGCTCTGAAGTTCCATGTTAGGCAGTGCTGGGAAAAACACAAAATGGCTGCCATAGAGAGGAGCTTGAAGCTCCACGGGAAGAGCTGCATCCCTCTCCTTCTCCCCACAACCCAGCCTGCGCATCTTAACCCTTTTCCTGCGAGGAGAGAAATCCCCCCAACCCCCATCCCCCCTTCGTACTCTATCCACTGTAATTGGCTTGGGGTGATACCGCGGCCGTCTTCACCGCGAGCTCGCCGAAGCATCAGCCTCCAACTCGGCCAAGCCGCCGTCGCTCAACTCCTCCTCGTGCCTGATCCGTGTCCCCTTCATCATCTGCCTCCTGATAATGAGCGTGTTGAATAGCCCAGCCACACAGCATCAGTATCACCAACCTCCTCCCCCCCCCTCCCTCTCTCCCGCTCTCCTCCCCTCGCTGTCCGGCTTGTGCAGTCAGCAGAACAGGCTGGTGCTGTGCAGTATTGAGCCGAGAAAAATCAATGACTGCAGAGTGGGAGTGGGTAGAAGCTTGTGTGTGTGTGTGTGTGTGTGTGTGTGTGTGTGTGTGTGTGTGTGTGTGTGTGTGTGTGTGTGTGTGTGTTGTGAGTGACTGGAGCTGTCAGATATTAACAGAATGGTAATAAAGCGCTCGCTCTGTGTGCTGCATGGGACAATGTGTGAATGTTTCTGTAGATTTACATTGGATTTGTTTTTTTGTAATTATACATTTGACTTTTTAATGGGAAACATCTTTGAGGAATATTTATTTATTATTGTTATTGTTGGTCTGGTTAAAAAAAAGAGCATGATTGCAGTTTTCTGTATATGAGCCGGAACGTAATTGTTCTGTCAGCATGATTCTGAATTCACGATGCTTTCAAATCCCTTATTGAATACTTTTAGGTTCTATGAGTAAAACGCAATAAAAAGGACCTCGTCCCAGAGTCAATGCACAGGATTACTTATTTGAGGAAAGTTTAAATGCCAGTTTGTGGCACTTGACATTTTTTGATACTTTATATATCAAAGCGCCCCACAAATTAAATTGGCTGAGGGGCGTGAGGCACGAGGCGAATCCATCTTTTTTTTTTTCGAGAGCTGACACCCGTGTGCAGGCTTTGAAGTATTGCTGGAGAATTTTCCTTGGCGGTGACTCGGATCTGCTGTGCGCACGGGTCCCTTCACCTATCGGCTCTATTTTGAGTTGCTCTCTAAACGTTGCTGGTCTTGATGGAACGTATTCCGCGTGCTCGCTCCGGCCTCGATGTCAATCAAACAGCGGATGCCCCCCCACCCCCCGCTTGTTGACCTGCGCTGCACCTGGGTTCATGTCAGTTATCCACGCAGGAAGCAGGCGGTTTGGGTGCCGGTTTGGGTGCCGGTTGCCTCGGATACGGTACGAAACCACCTCTGGCAACCGGTGGTTTGGGCTCACGCCGGACCGCCATCCCTCGTTAATACTTCCCTTGGCCCTCTTTCCGTTGCGAGTGAAGCGTGCACGTCGTGTGCAGAGTGACTGTGGGGGAGGGGGGGGGGGGGGTTTCTTGGGAAAAAAAGCAACGATGTGGTCATTGTAGCCGCTGGCCGTGGCCCTTCACGCTGAGCCCCGTGTCGGATGACCAGTCTTGTGATGTCTGAGCATGGGTGGTGGGTGGGTCGGGGGGCTTGGTGCTGGTTGGGATGTGGGGGGGGGTCATGTGTCGATGCTGGCTGCTGAGGGGGGGAGGATCCCGCCACGGTTGTTTAAGCAAGGAATGTGGCGCCGTTTGATCGCTGCTCTACCCCAGAGCGGTGAGCCCCCCCCCCCAACCCCTCCGCCTTCTGAACCCTTTTTACTTTTCCCAAAAATGAATTTGACCCCTCGCGGTGAGTTCTGTGCCAATTTATACGCGCCAGTTTTCCCATGCGGGTCAGAAAGGCCTTGGTTTGTGCAGTCACTGAAAAGAGTGGAAAGGGGGGGGGTCAGGTGGGGGATTCTGAATCAGCGTTCTCCTCGTGTCACTCCCTCTGGGGTTCCTCCATCAGGTCATTCCCAAAAATAGCAACGGGCGCTGTTACAAGTGCAAAACCGCCGGCTTCGGGGCTGCAGCCAGCCTGCGAGTGTGAGATTTCTATGGGAATAGTTGGCCACCGTCCAATGAGCAAGTGTGTGTGTGTGTGTGTGTGTGTGTTTTTTCTTTTTTTCTTTTCCCCTCCTCCTCCCTCCCATTTTTTTTTTTTCCTTGCTCCCTCCTCCGGTGTGACTGGCAGATGAGCTTGCATTTCTGAGGAAGCACATGGGCTCCACGTGAGCGGCCGGCGTGTAAACATTAACCTTTCTCACAAACACGATGGCCGGCGGCTGCCGCGCTGCCTCCGCTCCCTGCCTGGCCGTCTTTGTGTCGCAGCCAGCGCGGCTCAACAACAACGCCACATGGCACCGCGGTCGGTGCCCAGCACCAATTATTTCAACTGCCTCCTGAGACGACTTGCTTCAAAGTCATTTTTACATTTTTTTTTTTTTTTTTCAAACACCGTTCCGCTCGCCAAGATGGGTCATTAACAGCATTATGGGAGTGATGTAGAGTATTTTTAAAAATTGGGGTGGGGAGGGCGGGCGGGGCTCCGGCATGGCACAAAGTTTGTGCCATGTTAGTAAGAGATAAAAAAGACGCGGCCAGGTTAAGGAGAAGGTTCGCTCGTGACTCTAATAAAATAAAAAATAAAATGCTCACGCGCATGAAAACACCTGATTATGATTTACATTCCGTCCAACGTGTCAATTTAGTTCTTTAGCTTTTAGAGTGTGAGCCAACCGGAGCTCCATCCCTACTGACACGCTGCATCGTGCCGGTTTTTGTTTTCTCAAAGCTGTAGACGTGTTTGTTTGATCGTGTTGGGGATGGGATGACAAACAAAGCAAAATGGTGTCACTCCATGTTCACTTCACTTACCCTTTAAACGGTTCGTCTTGTCCCAGGATCTGTCCGGCTCCATCGACGACCTGCCCACCGGGACGGAGGGCGCCCTGAGCCCCGGCGTCAGCACCTCAGGGGTCTCCAGCAGTCAGGGGGAGCAGAGCAATCCGGCCCAGTCGCCCTTCTCGCCGCACACTTCGCCCCACTTGCCGGGCATCCGCGGACCCTCGCCATCACCCGTGGGCTCCCCCGCCAGCGTCACCCCCTCCCGCACCGGGCCGCTGTCCCCTGCTGCTGTGCCAGGTAAAGACTAAAGACCAACTGGGTGACATGCTGAGAATAAAGCTGCATCAGATAATGACGGGATGAGGTCTCATGTGGAATCAGTTGGACAAAAACCACAAATATAAAAGGTTTTGGCTGCAAGAGAATGCTGGAAATGTTCAATACAGACATTTGTCAAAAGACTGAATTATAAAAGTTTTGAGTGAAAACCTTTTTGACGAAAAGTAAGTTAAAATCCACTAAAACTGAACTGAACCTTTTTTGAGTTCCTGGATAAAAATGACTAAATGTCACTAAAACGAATGAGCATAAACTCTGCTAACCAGGAAAACCTTAAATACATTTTTCATATCAAGAGTTGGATGCTGTGAAACATCTGGTGAAGGAACAGTCGACAGCTTTAGAGATCTAATTCCACACATGCTCACTCACAAATGCATTGAATGCCATTTGTTACTCATGAAGGGAATTGCCAGATGGGAACATTTTCTCCCAACATGACGCTAGTAAACCATCCAGACGGCACCGAAACACAAGTTCTGATGCCACCAACAACTCGTGGTGGAGAGCGATTTACCAGGCAGCCAATAGGACGCTGTCATAGTCCTCCTTTTATTGTATTTTATCGGCTAACAGGCCTTTTGACGGCCAATATTGTGGAGTTTAACCAGGCAAAGGCAACTAAGGCATGAAGACTCAACCCCCCCCACCTCCCCCGTGTTGTTTCTGTCCTCCAGGCAATCAGATGCCTCCGCGGCCGCCCAGCGTCCAGTCAGACACCATCATGCACTCGTCTATGAACCAGTCCGCCATGGGCCAGGAGAGGGGTGAGTGTTGACACCCGCCTCAAACGGAAAGCAGCTACAGAGAAATGGGCGAGAACGTGTGCCCAGCCGCTCGTGGGGGTGTCGGTTTGCATTCGAAAGCCTTCCGTCCTCCTGTAAACACGCCACACCCCAGGGTGCATCCTTACATAAGAATGAGCCTGTCGTCTACTTGCCGGGTCAGATGAGGGCAACCAGAGACGGAAGCAATTAAGTGGTTTGTGTGTGTTTGTGAGGAAGTGAAGAGTGTGGGACTTTTTTTTTTTTTTTAAAGGGTATCACACCTTTCATGTGGATTTTAATTGTAAATTCAGAAGCTTTTTTTGTGTTTTCTTGCTCAGCTGGATGTACCAGAATGCATTGCGCGTCGGGGAAACGGGACACAGTGAACCGCTGTTGGTGTCGAGGTGGCACAAAATCAGTTTATACGTTGACTTATAATTTGAGGAGTCTCCTCACTCGTAGCCAGGATGTTTACCAACGACCTGCAGATTGATTTGATGACACGGCCCTTTTCCCCTTGTATCTTTCTGCCCCGGGCAAAGTGGAGAAGCCTCAGTGAAACTAATCCATCGTCCCCGCAGGTCAATGATCGTGCTCCAGCTGCTGAGCGCATTGATGTGACATTGTGCTCCTGCGCTACTTGAGCCTGCTACAATAAAAATCCAAGCTTAAATGATTTGTAGTTTTACCTTGCCTCCTCTTATGTCACTGTCATGGCGAATGGCGGCGGCGAAAGAACCACGCAACACGTCACTCACGTCTTCGGGTGGCTCCATTGGAAGTCCACATGAAAAGTGCTGAATTTGCCCTTTTAGGTGATAAATTGTGTATCTGACGACAGTCTCTCGCTCTCGCCCCCAGTGTACATGCGTAACCCTCAGATGGCTCCCTACGGGTCGCCTGGTCAACCTGGCTCCGCCTTATCTCCACGCCAGTCTTCGGGAGGCCAGATGCATGCTGGGATGGGACCATATCCCCAGAACAACTCCATGGGGAACTACGGGCCTCAGGGCGGGCAGTATGGTCCGCAAGGTGAGGCCTCAGGGTGTAGCTTCAACAGGCCTTCATTCATTTATTCATTCATGTACTTTTTCCTCTAAAAATATTCTGAATGAGTTTACAGCCCCCACAGTTTCATAGATAGCCCCGATAGAAGTTTCCTCTCACTTCATATACTTTTGAAACTATCACTCCACTTTGAAGTCTCAGATGGTTTCTGTCGGCTTTGAAGACGTTTTTTTTTTTTTTTCTTTTTCCTGTGAGTCATAGCAGCGATCGGCGAGGGCCAGAAAAAGCCCCCTTCATCACGCTGCAGCTTGTCAGAACAGGCAGCGCCGGGGTAAATTTAGAGCCGGCCGTGGCTGAAACTCTTAATCTGGTCACAGCGCGTTGAGCGCGTCCGCACGCGGATGGGTGAGTTTTGAGAACCGGGCTAAAGATCTACACTCCTGTCCATTTGTGATCCTTCCAGGTTACCCCAGGCAGCCCGCTTACACCGGGATGCCCAATGCCAACTACCCCACCGGTCCGGCCGGCATGAGCGGCTCCATGAACCCCATACCGGGTCAGGGCAGCGGGGCTCCGTACGGGGGCATCCCGCCCGGCAGAATAGGCCCGACGCAGATGGGTCCTCGGCCCTTCGGTCCCGCCATGGCCGCAAACATGGCCGGCATGCCTCTCCAGGTGGCGTCCGGGATGTGTCTCTCTTCCGGCCATGAACAGGAAGGAGGGCGGCTCTTCCATGCACCACGGGCTCACTAACTCCGTACACAACAGGTGGGTGTTTCGGGGCGTCTGAGCGGGACGCGAGGCAGCAGTTGGATGTGGAATGCGCTATCGCGACTATCCGTCCGTCCTTCCTCGTATGTGCCGATTTTGTGTGACCAAGGAAAAAAACGAAACGATTGTCATCCTCCCACGTGCAAGCCGGTCTGCCGCGTGTCGCGCTGCCCGAGTGTGCCGCAGAGCCGATGGCGGTCGGCCAGACCGCTTGTCTCCGAGAGAAAGTGGATGGAGTGAGAAAGCGTTCTCTGGGACCGGTGAATCATATCTTTCACCGGCGTAAGACGCCAGCTCAGCCTACAGAGAGACACTCGTGGGCTCGGCTATCGCTAGCGTCATGTGACGTCGGAAATGTTTTCCCACAGAATAAGCCAAACACGAGATAGCGAAGGTGTATAAAGTGTTGCAGCGTCACAGAAAGAACGATTCTGATATTCCTCTGAGTTTCTTTGCGTCAGCTGGTTGTGTGTTTCTTTCTAAACGAGCCTTCTTCTCTCCAGGCCTCCCGGCTACCCGAACATGGCTCAGGGGATGATGGGAACGGGCTCTCCGTACGGCCCTGGCATGAACAGCATGCACGGCATGATGAACCAGGGAGCGCCGGGGCCTTACCCAATGGGAGCAAATCTAGCCAACAACACTCCTGGTGAGTGGAGGCCACGCTGAGCCCTGATAGGTGGTATACGGTGCCCACGCTAGACGGTTACAGGGAATCTTTTGTCTCATTAGGAATGGCTCCCAGTTCGGAGTTTGGCGTGGAAAAAATGAACCCGACCCAGAAGATAAACAACAAAATGGAGGGAACTCCCAAGCCCGAATCCAAAAAGGTAAGAGTTCCAACGCTACGTGGTAACCTTTCCGACGCTTTGTTCTTTTCTCGCAATCTCACGACACCCTCCCGTCGTCCGTCCCGTAGAAGTCGAGCTCCTCCACCATCACCAATGAGAAGATCACTCGTCTCTACGAGCTCGGCCCGGAGCCGGAGCGGAAGATGTGGGTGGATCGGTTCCTGGCCTTCGCCGAGGAGAAGGCCATGGGCATGAACAACCTGCCCGCCGTCGGACGCAAGCCCCTCGATCTCTTCCGGCTCTACGTGTCCGTCAAGGAGATCGGCGGCCTCACACAGGTACGCTGGGATGTTTTTTGCACAGGGGGGAAAAAACAAAAAACAAACACACATCGTTGGCGTGCCGCTTTCTAAGCCCCTCTTTCCTCGTCTCTCCCACCAGGTGAACAAGAACAAGAAGTGGAGGGAGCTGGCCACCAACCTGAACGTGGGCACGTCGAGCAGCGCGGCCAGCTCGCTAAAGAAACAGTACATCCAGTGTCTGTACGCCTTCGAGTGCAAGATCGAGCGCGGCGAGGACCCGCCCGCCGACTTCTTCAACACGGACACCAAAAAGAACCAGCCGAAGATCCAGCCTCCCAGCCCAGGTGAGCCCCCGCCCCCACCCCTACCCTCCTGCCGTCTGCGTTCCCCCTTCTCCCGTGGGTGCAGTGTGGATTCCCTGCAATTCATCACGTCCTCATCGCTCTATTTGCCGCGCATCGCCTGCCCTATAGGCTGCCGTGTTTTATTGTGTCCTATTAACTGTTAAAGAGGCGATTTCAGGCCGCCGTCTGTTATATTCTGGACTTTCCCCCATAAATCGATGGCATTTCGGCGTCCGCATCCGAGGGGTTGTAAATAGCGGCGCTGTAGCTATAAGTCACAGAAGTGCGCCGTGTCGTCTGGACAGTTCCACGAACACATCCCATGGGAGGGGGGGGGGGGCGCTCCATGGCATTTGCACAGGACACGGCGAAGGACTAGAATGCCAAAACTTTCAATGAAGCGTGTGTGTGTGTGTGTGTATACAGGCCAGAGTCAGAGGTTAAGAGCGGCACGGGGGTCATGTGACACTGTGTCGCCTGGAAGCTGTTTGTTTTGGGTGGCGCTCCGGTTTCAGCTGCCAGGAGCGACCACGTGGCGCTCCAGTGTGGCTGAGAGCCACGCCGTGAGACACGGGGCCCCGGGTGTGTGCCGGGAGGCGGTTGCAGGAGACGTCAGGGCGCCTCTCAGTGCTCAGAGAGGGCGATGGCGATGGACCGTCATCGGCGCATCCTCACTGCCTGCTGCCCGGCTCGGGGCAACGGCGGCATGGGAGCGCTCTCTGGGGATTAGTACTGAGCCAGAAAAGATGAATGGGGGGGTGAGGCGTGTGTGTGTAAAAGTCATGCATCTCTCTCTCTCTTGCTATTTTTTCCTTCCTCATGAGATCCTCCCCCTCCCCTTTCCTCTCTTCATCTTTAGTGAAGGGAAATCCCTGCCCAGAGGGAGGAGGGGGAGGGGAAGCCCGTTTGGGGGAAGGGGGGTGTGTGTGTATGTGAGGGAACTGAGAGGGTGATGTGAGAAAATGTGAATAAATGTGACCTGTCAGTGACCCTGGTGTGTGTGTGTGTGTGTGTGTGTGTGTGTGTGTGTGTGTGTGTGTGTGTGTGTGTGTGTGTGTGTGTGTGTGTGTGTGTGTGTGGGTGTGTGTGTGTGTGTGTGTGTGTGTGTGTGTGTGTGTGCGTGCCACTTTAATGAATGGGACCGGGCTAATAGTGAGAAGTCCTCAGCTGGCGTTATGGATGAACACTGTCCCATCGCCACCTTGCGCCGACTGTACAAACAATAACTCACTCTCGTGCACGCTTACGCTACTCGCCGTCTCCTGCCTCCGCGGGTCAGGGAGTAATCGGTCGGAGTCAGGGTTCACATCGTTGTATCCGGGAGACTCTGGTGGTGGTGGTGGTGGTGAAGGAGGAGGGTGACGGAGGCAGCGATGCGTCGGGCGCGAAAAATAAAAAAAATTTGCTGCGTGTGTCTGTTTTTCTCTTCGCAGCACTTTGAAATTTCTTAATGGGATTTTAGGATTGCCAAAAGCAGCATGTGTGCCTGAAAAAGCCCCCAGCGGGGCTCCGTCTATCCACAACATTATCCCCCCACACCATCAACTATCCGCTATCAACTCCAGCTTTTATTCCTCCGGTGAAGAGAGGAGGAGGGCCTGTTCCTTCCAGTTCTTTGGAGGCTTTTTTTCTTCTTCTTTTAACCCAGAGGACTTTTGTCGTTTACAAACACTTCTGTGTGTATCGTTGTTTTGCAGCTGGTTCTGGATCCCTGCAAGGACCGCAGACGCCCCAGTCCACCAGTAGTTCCATGGCAGAAAGTGGAGACCTGAAGCCCCCGACCCCAGCCTCCACCCCACACACGCAAATGCCTCCAATGCCTGGCGCCAGGTACGAGTTAGAAGCCATGATATAGAGTTTTCTATGATCACAAGGTGAAAGTGATCCCTGGTAGATCATTGCAGCGGGAAATGGAGTACAACAGTCAGGAGAAAGTTCTGTAATGTTGAGATATACACACCACCAACCTGTGAACAATTTTGTGATTTGGAAAAGCAGTTAAAAAAAATTGATCGGATTTAGATGTTCTGGTTAAATGTGTTTAGACTCATGGTGACGATCATTCCTGATACTTCGGTGCATTAATCTCAAAAGAGAAATCTATATCTGAAAATCGCCTCCTTCCCTCCAGCAGGAGTAGCGTCAACCTGCAGGACCCATTTGCGGATGGCGTTGACCCGGCGTTTTCCAGGAGGAACGCCATGACTCCCAACTCACAGGGCTACCAGCCCGGCATGGGGGGCCCGGAGATGATCGCTCGAATGGGTCCCTACGAGTCCAACAAGGACCCCTTCGGTGGCATGAGGAAAGGTGAGCAACGGCCCCGCCAGAGATCCGGATGCCGTTAGGGTCTCGTCAGCTTCTAAAACTAACAAGCCTCTTTTTATTTCTTCTCTTAAGCTGGAGAGCAGTTCATGCAGCCGGGTCCCAACAGTGGGATGGGAGAACAGTACAACCGAGGTCCACCAGGCCCTATGGGTAACATGCAGATGGGCCAGAGGCAACAGTACCCATACGGATACGACAGACGGTAAACAACGTGCATCCTTCTCCCAGTGTGTGTGTGTGTGTGTGTGTGTGTGTGTGTGTGTGTGTGTGTGTGTGTGTGTGTGTGTGTGTAAAACATGCATTGGGACCAGCCCGCGTATTGTTTATACGTCCAATTGACCCGACGCTGTGTCTCACAGGCCGGAGCCCGGCATGGGCCCTGACGGCAGCATGGGACCAGGAGGCCCTCAGCCCAACATGATGCCGTCCGGTGCCGAGACGGGGATGTACTCGCCCAGCCGCCCTCCACCACAGCAACGGTCAGTGGCCGCTCGGAACCGGTCGGCGCGGGAGGAGAAACGCGCTGCCGTCGTTGTTGAATGACTTGTTGGATTCACCGCGGAGAAGTCATGTGGATTTGTAATGGTGTGAACTTTTGTTATTGTTTTTTTTTGAAGGCATGAATCCTTCAGCAATCAGTACCCTGGCCAAGGAGCTCCCCCTGGTGGCCCATACCCAAATCCACAGCCAGGAATGTATCCACAGCAGCAACCGGTAAGGACATTTTGTTCGGCGTGTGCAGTGCTCTCATTAGAGCTCGATTCTGTGTCCTTCTTTTTACCGTATATGTGTAGCAGGAACAATGATCGGTCTGTGCTGGAAGTCTATGAAAGAGACACAGTTGGATGCTTAATTAAGTCTGATGTGAATTTTTGTCTTCTGACAGAACTACAAGCGTCCCGTGGATGGAGGGTATGGTCCTCCTGCCAAGCGCCACGAGGGGGAAATGTACAATGTCTCCTACAGTGGTCAGCAGCAGCCTGGACCCCAGCCCTCGGGGCCCCAGGGCCAACAGGAGATATATAACCAGTATAATGCGTATCCTGGAGGGGACCGCAGACCACCAGGTCCACAGAACCAGTTCCCCTTCCCCTTTGGCCGGGACAGGGTGCCGCCATCGGCGGGGCCCAACTCCCAGGCTCCGATGCCTCCCCAAATGATGTCGAGCCCCATGCCCTCGGGTCCCGATGCCTCCCAGGGCCCAATGTGGCAGGGTCGCAATGAGATGGGGTACCCCAACTATCCAAACAGACCAGGACCTCCCGTGCCAGGTCAGGGCCCCGGCTACCACGGCATGAACCGCTCAGAGGAGATGATGCCCTCGGACCAACGCATGAACCACGAGGGTCAGTGGCCCGGCCACGTCAACCAGCGCCAGCCCCCGTTTGGCCCCGGTGGTTCCGGACCGCCCATGACCAGACCCCTGCCGTCCACCTACCAGACTTCGCAGAACCACATTCCTCAGGTGTCGAGCCCAACCCCGATGCCCCGGCCCATGGAGAGCAGGACGTCGCCCAGCAAGTCCTCCTACATGCATCCGGGGATCAAGGTGCAGAAAGCCGGACCCCCGGTACCCGCCTCCCACATCGGCCAGGCCCCGGTGCAGCAGCCCATGATCAGGCGAGATGTGGCCTTCCCTCCCGGCTCGGTGGAGGCCTCCCCACCCCACCTGAAGCCTCGCAGACGGCTCACCATGAAAGACATTGGTACAGAACCGTCACTCGGTTGTTTCAGTAGAGACGCATGTGTACTGACCATTTCATGTAACGCCCAATACTCAAAAACACGCTTACTGAGAGAGACTGCGACGGATCGTGTTTGACCGCTTCTTTAAAGTTACGGTGCTGATCCGTACCGGATATCTGAATGTCCGCCTGCGAGCCTGACCTTGATTAAAATCCATGCGAAGCAGAGGGAAAGCTTATTTTGGATCGTTAGAACAGATGAAAGCTGCTTATTTTGAATTGGGGAAGTTAGGAGATAAATGCTAATCCCGATCAGATCAGATCAGATCAGTGAACCGCTTCGTTTTCGTTCACAGCTGGAATACTTGATCATTATCGCCACGGCTCGTATTCACTCAGGTTCTGTCTTCTCTAACAGGCACTCCCGAGGCTTGGAGAGTGATGATGTCGCTGAAGTCGGGCCTCCTCGCCGAGAGCACCTGGGCCTTGGACACCATTAACATCTTACTGTATGACGACAATAGCATTACTACTTTCAACTTGTGCCAGGTAAGCGCCACGCACAACAGTCTTGTTAGATTTGCACTCGCGCTGTTTGCTGGATCGTTTCGATGAACTTCCTCCTTTGGTTTCTCAGCTGCCTGGTTTCCTGGAGCTGGTGGTGGAGTACTTCAGACGCTGCCTCATCGAGATCTTTGGCATCTTAAAGGAGTACGAAGTGGGAGACCCCGGCCAGCGCACCCTCATAGACCCCGACGCGGCCGAGGATCTCGAGGACGAAACCCCCTTGACCGAGGGCGAGGACATGGACGTGGACGAAGAAGACGATGAGGACGAGGAGCCGGAGGAAACCAAGGCCAGTCCCGACACCCCCTCGCTGGTCCAGGTGAAGCAGGAGGAGGAGAGCGCTCACAAACGCACCACTTCAGAGGACGAGGACGAGGAGAAGGAAAGGGAGTCTTCTACCAAGGAACCCACCACCTCTACCTCCGGGTCCTCCCAGGACCCAAACCTCCACCCGGAGAAGCCCAGGCAGGCCAGCAAGTTCGACAAGCTCCCCATCAAGGTGGTGCGGAAGAAGAACCCCTTCCTGGTGAACCTCTCGTCCAAGCTGGGGCAACGGCAGAGCTTCGACAGCGGCCTGACACACTGGAGCATCGGCGGCGGCGACACCACCGAACACATTCAGACCCACTTTGAGAGCCGGAGGGACCTCCTCAAGCAGCGCAAATGCAAGCCCACGGCGGGCGCTGGCCGCAAGAAGTTCCAGGCGTCCGAGGCCGCGACGGAAACCGCGGAGAAGTCCAACGGGGAGAGTAAACCTCGGGGGCAGCCGTCCGAGTCTTCGGACCCTCGGAGGTCCTCGGCGGAGAAAAGCGCGCCTCCTCCCCTCCCCATCGGCGCGCCGGTCACCGCCACCATCGACGACGTGCTGTCGGCCCGCCCGGGCTCGGTCACGGAGGAGGTGGTCCGCGGCGGCGCGGAGGAGCAGAAGGAGAACGGCAAGTACCTGTTCAGCATCAACCCCGACCTGCAGAGCCGACGCAACATCAAGATCCTGGAGGACGAGCCGCACAGCAAGGACGAGACGCCGCTCAGCACCCTGTCGGAGTGGCAGGACTCGCTGGCCCGGCGCTGCGTCTGCGTCTCCAACATCGTGCGCAGCCTCTCGTTCGTCCCGGGCAACGACCTGGAGATGTCGAAGCACCCGGGCCTCCTGCTGCTGCTGGGCCGCCTGGTGCTGCTCCACCACAGGCACCCCGAGCGCAAGCAGGCGCCGGTCACCTACGAGAAGGAGGAGGAGGAGGACGAGGGCGTCAGCTGCGAGAGGGACGAGTGGTGGTGGGATTGCCTCGAGGTGCTGAGGGAAAACTGCCTCGTCACTCTGGCGAACATCTCAGGCCAGCTGGACCTTTCCATCTACCCGGAGAGCATATGCCTGCCGCTGCTGGACGGCCTGCTCCACTGGGCGGTCTGCCCCTCGGCGGAGGCCCTGGACCCCTTCCCCACGCTGGGGCCCCACGGCTCGCTTTCCCCCCAGAGACTGGTCCTCGAGACCCTCAGCAAGCTCAGCATCCAGGACAACAACGTGGACCTCATACTGGCGACGCCGCCGTTCCGCCGCTTGGAGAAGCTGTACGGCTCGCTGGTGCGCTTGGTCGGCGAGCGCAAGGTGGCCGTCTGCCGGGAAATGGCCGTGGTCCTGCTGGCCAACTTGGCGCAGGGCGACGGCCTGGCGGCGCGGGCCATCGCCGTGCAGAAGGGCAGCGTGGGTAACCTGCTGGGCTTCCTGGAGGACAGCCTAGCGGCCACGCAGTACCAGCAGGGCCAGAGCTCCCTGCTGCAGATGCAGGGCGGACCTCAGTTCGAGCCCACCAGCGTGGACATGATGCGGCGGGCGGCCCGCGCCCTGCACGCCCTGGCCAAGGTGGAGGAGAACCACTCCGAGTTCACTTTGTACGAGTCGCGGCTACTGGACATCTCGGTGTCCCCACTTATGAACTCTCTGGTGTCCCAAGTGATCTGTGACGTACTGTTTCTGATTGGCCAGTCATGACAGCCGTGGGGAGGTTTCAGCTCCGCCTCTTTCCGTTCCCTCCCCCCCTCAGCCCTTTTCTTTGTGTGCGTGCGTGTGTCTGTCGCGTGTGAGTGAAAAGAGCAAATACTGACTTGTCCTTTTTTTTTTTTTTTTAATTCTTTATTTTCTTTTTGTTTTATTTATGCAAAATCACCTCGGATTCCACTGTCTTTCTACCCCTGCTTCTCACTAAAGGAAGGAATATCATGAAGTAGCTGTGGATTTTAAACGTCTGAGATGGAAAGATACTGACACAGAGGAGCAGATTGGGGACCCAGGCATAGGACAGAGCGCGCTGCCCTGCGGGGGGAAAAAAAGGACTTGTTTTTTAATGAAAAGAAAAATCTCCAGGAAAAAAAAAAAAAAAAGAAGAAGAAACTGTAACCAAAGTTGCTGTCTCGTTTACAGTGAGTTTGGGGGATACGTGAGCTCGCTTTCTCCCTCCGGGGGGGGGGGGGGGGGGGAGGTGGAAAGTGGGGGTGTCGGGGTTGGCAGGGGGAAGAGGGCACGGACTAAACAATATTATGGTTCATGTTTGGAGGCTACATAGACTCCCGGACTGTGGTGTGGTATAGTTGCTGTAACTTTGGATGCTATATACTCGGCCCCACAGGAACCACACTATTGGCTGTGAACGGACCGTTGTCATGGGAGGCCTGTGCAGTAGATTGTAGGACTTTTTTTCTGTACTGTACACCTTAAAAAAACTGTAAACATACTGTAATAATACTGTTTCACACTGAGATACGCTGGCTTGGCAGCAAACTGTAGTTTTTAAAAACAGTTTTAGTTAATGTCGAGAGAGAAAACGGCTTTCCCCCCAAAGTATGGTGAACCTACAACACCCCGACCTCTTCTCTTTGTCCCTTGATTGTATGACTTGACCCTTATATTAAAAAGTCACCTCCTTAGGACTGGTCCTCAACTCTAGATGCAGTCCAAGCTGCAGTGTATATATGATGTTGTACATTACACTTTCTCTCTCTTTCTCAACTTCTGTTGCTCGTCACCATTTTTAATCTTTGACGATTACAAGATCCCCCCCACCCGCCCCACCCGCCATCCCCCCTCCAGCATCAAGTAGGCCATGTGATTACTTGACGCCTCCCTCTCCGTTACCCAGGCGCCTCGCCCTGCTCGTGTCGCTCTCCGGGGGTGTTCAGCTGCTGTCCAACGCCACCCCCAACAAACACAACTTCAAGTTTCAGTTTGTCTCCAGTCCGGGTGTAGAGAATATAACAAAGATCATTGAGCTCCTTCATAAATGACAAACTAGACCTTGATGAAGAAACCCATTTTTATTTTGTTTATTTTGTTTTTTTTTCCAGTGATGCGGATTCTGCATATTTGTATTTCAGATGATGTAGCTAAAAACTTGATGTAAATTCCTCTTTTTTCCTTTTTTTTGGCTTAATGAATATCATTTATTCAGTATGAAATCTTTATACTATATGTTCCACGTGTTAAGAATAAATGTACATTAAATCTTCGTAAGACGTTTGCTGTGTATTTTTTCAAATTCTTTATGATAACCCTCGTACGTCGTTGAAACAGCAATAAATAGAATCACGACATTTTCATTAGGTTCACATTTTGCTGGTTTTCCACCCTACAAAGCATGTGGGGGTCTGTCATTTTTATCATACTCTTCAAATGTGAGTGACGGAATCTAAAACAAATCCAGAAAATCACATTGCAAAATACCCCTACGTGCTTTCGGCAGGTATGGAAGTAAAATCCAGGACTGACCGGCGGAGTCATGCATCCAAATGGAGGTTATTGTAGTTTTTGATATATTCCTTTTATTTTATTTTCTCCCTAATCATCTGAATATTGCCTCTGAATTGAATTTGTGATATTGTGATGGAAGCTCTATTTGCTTCATTTCGAGCAGTGGGAGAGGTACTAATTCGGGAGGCATAAAACATCCGTTTCACCCCCAGGAGGTTGCATGAGAAAGTTTTATAGTCCTCAGTGAAGAGACAAAATAGCCAGCATGTCTAAATGTGGCACCAAAAACTTTCAAACACAGCTTGATGTGGCTTCACGCCGCTGAGCTTTATTTATTCCGGAAGTCTCGCTGAGATTAAGATCTCTTTTGTAAATGTAAGATGAAAACTAATAAACTATGACGTCAAGTTGATGACGGCGTTCCTATACACTTCTTCACTCCTGAAAGAAGCCTTCTTGCATTGTTGAGATTACGGTTAGAAACATGCATTCATATAGTACCTTTTTATTTTGACCTTATGGCAACATGTTGATCAGGTACAACGGGTAGCGTGTTAGCATGCTAACAGTTGGCACAAAGTTCACTATATGGCTTTATTGGCATTAAAGTTTCAGAAAACTAAATGTTGCCAAAGCATCAAAATAGAACAAGGTACATTTCACCTTTTCTCTTTTCACTTCAACATTTAGAAATATAAAATCTTGTGAGTAGCCGGTTAGTGCCATTAGCCCTTAGTGTAGCATGTTTACCGGTCAAAGTCAAATGTTGGCCAAATACAGAGACTGATTTTTGTGATACATAAGTGAACATAAAGGTCTACTACATTTTATGCGAATCCATCAGATAGTTGAGATATTTCAGTCTGGACCAAAGTAACGTACCATCGCTAAAGAACTGTTACGAGTACAGTCACAAGTAGGATAGAAAAATGTAGATAACTCAATTGTATCGTAGTGGTAAAAACAGATTCTGTGTAGAAACACAGCTAAAAACAGTAAAATGCTTTTAGCCGAATCTTAAATAATCCAGCATCAAGGACACAGTTTAAACTTTCTGTCCATAAATGCAGAAACATTTCATAGTTTTTATAAAAGTGAAAGAATGTGGCAGGCAGCCTGGCTTTCATGCCATTTGAATATTGTCTATGAAATATTTGCTTTCTGCTCATATGTGAGGCCTCTCTGAGGGGATTTTCACTCTGAATACTCTGGAGGATATTTGGGGGGGGGGGGGGCTCTGCTATCGAATAGATTGTTGTTAGAAGGATTATTCCACTACAAGCACTCGAATGCTTCTCCTTCTAATTGGCTTCTGACATTGGGACTTTAGTGAGCGCGCATTCAGCCCCCGTGCAGCTGCATCTGGAAATGATCAGTGGAATCTACCTGCCACGTCTGCTCCGCACAGGTGCTGTAGAACCCCCCCTCCCAGTTTCACTTTCATTGACCCCCCTACAAGTTGTTTCCAATATCCATTCAATCGAACATTGTTAATACACGGTAAGTTCCCATATTGATTTCTGCTCAAGCCACAGTGGGTGATCACTGAGATTTGCCTCATTAGGTTGTGAAATTAGTCGTGCGTCACATGACAATGTCTATACAACCATAAGCAGCGTACAGCACATACATAATTATAGTAATTGACTGAGCGCATGGGCCCAGGAAATGTATTCCTCTATGTCTCCATGTATACTCTGTTATGCAATATTAATTGTATTAACAAATTAATTGTATGTAAATAGTTTCAACTTGTTCTGAAGAAGGTTCTTTTTTTTGTTGCTGTGAACAAATGGCGCTCTCGTCTGGTCAGAACATCTCATTACAGCGGGTCCATGCAGGGATTAGACTTTTTATTGAAGCTGAATTATTAAATTTCTTTCATCATACAATACCAACATTAGTTGAATTCATTAGTTTTTTATGAGATTTTTCCAACTACATTTTTAAAATATTTTTTTCCATGACATTTCTTGAGAGAAAATATTTTGGCCCACTTTTATGCAATTTTGGCATCACTTTTTTGACTTTTTATTCCATGAAAATTTGCCACCCATGTTTTTTCAATCAACATGTTTTTTCTTTTTTCCATGACATTTTTATTCACAAGTCTCTGTGCCAATAGCAGCCCCGATGTCTTTCCCTTAAAGTTCAACAGCCAATGAGAGTCCGCACTGTGCAGAAGGTGCCTGCCCTTTTTCTTTCGTAAAAAGACAGTTGCAAACGAATGTGCTGGTGACTGACACTTCATATAACCAATGAAGTTCTGAATAAACCCATCTGACGCTTACGTTTCTTTCCCCTCACACAAAGCACCTTTTTTAATAAAAAAAGAATAAAGTAAAATATTGACTGCATCACTTTTAGTTTGTTAGTTTAGTTTCTAGCGCAAGAAAATGATTGAAATGAATTAATCATATATATGTCATCACGTGATACATTTTCAGGAAATTCAGTGAACACAAAGATACTTCGGTGTTCCGAAACATGGACTCATGTGTCAGCATTTGTGAGCTGCCCCCCCTCCCCTCCACCCCCACTGCCTCTACCTGTGGTGTGGACTGCTACCGGACACATGTCACTTGACAACAAGCCTCTTGCTTATGTTCCTCGGCTTTGGGCATTCTTTATGATTTCTCGTAAACCCAGTGAATCTTCCCCCACTACCGTACTTTGTACTGTCTCCTGAAAAATTGGCATCAACATCCAGTCTTGCGTGGATGATTTACAACGCTATCCATGACATATTTCCACCTAACAAATTTTAACTTTTTTTCCCATGAATTATTTTAAACCAATAAAATGTTCTACCCTTCATCCGTTCACCTGAATTAACAATCTCGACAGAGAAACACAGATCATGTGAGTAACCGTTTGCCACTTTGGCAACAAATACTATGAACCTGGTTGTGTGTTTCATCTGCATGTCTCAGCACTGTAACAACACATGAAGGCATCGAAGATGCTTCCTTGTAGTCCATCTGTAATTTTGTCATTAAAAGTATTATTAACATCTTTTATCTGAGGGGTGAGTTTTGACTACTCTAATGGACCGCTACCGGACGCATGTCACCTGACAGCCTGCCTTTTGCCTAAGTTCCTTGACTTTGGGCATTCTTTATGATTTCTCATAAACCCAGTGAATCCCCCCCACTCCCGTACTTTATACTTCCTACGTGGATGATTTACAATCTTGCAGAGAACACGGGCTTACTTACCCAAGCTATTTTATTACGAACTCTTTGTCTTTGCTCCATAGCCTTTATTTAAGGTTGTTTCGCTCAGCTGATTAGCAAACGAGGGAGACAAATTGACGGCACTCCGAAGACTCGGGTGCCATGCCTTGTCCTTGGACCCAAAAGGACGGTGCGTGCATTTAAAAATGACAAAGCCAATAATTAAAGAACTTGTTAAATACCAATTCAACCAAATAGTCAAGTGTGTCATGTATGACAAACATGCATCAGCTGTCAGCTGCCTTTACATTACATTACATTACATTACATGTCATTGAGTTGACGCTTTTATCCAAAGCGACTTACAATAAGTGCATTCAACCATAGGGGTACAAACTCAGAAGAACAAGAAACAAGAAAGTGCAATTTCCTCAAATAAGCCAATTTACAATTTGCTATAGATGTGTGTCGTTATAAGTACAATCTAAGTGCTGCAATTTGTTATTCTTTTAGTCGAGGTAGAGTCTGAAGAGGTGTGTCTTTAGTTTGTGGCGGAAGATGTGAAGGCTCTCTGCGGTCCTAGTGTCTTCAGAGAGCTTGTTTCTTTACTGAACAGGAGCTGCTCAACTGTAAATACAACCATGTCATCTTCCAATCTGAGAAACTGGCCAAATTATCCATCAGATTAACTGTAAATGTCAGTAAATACGCACAACAATAATTGGACGGATCAGTGGACAGAAAAGATGAAACCAAATGTTATACTTCAAGATTTAATGTTGTTACATGGTATGCTTATAGATACACTGTAAAAAAAGTATGTAGATTTTACGGTAATAAACTGTTAAATCGCAACAGTAAAAGACTGTTGATTAAAAATAGGTCATCTTCTGTTTCTATCACATTGAAATACTGTATATGTGTATATCAGCGCAAGCCGTCTATCTATTTCTTGTAAGACATACATTTTCTCACTGTTAATTGTACTAAACAGTGTACCGATAACGGAAATACACTGTTATACATTATGAAACACACTCTGTACCGTAATTTTTACATTCATAACTTTAAAAAAATACAATCTGTCCCTGTTAAATGTACGGACTACTGTGCTGACAATCGAAATATAACATATTTTCAATGTAACAGCCAGCCCTGTTATTTTTGCATTTATTATTTGTAAAGGATACAGTTGGTCATTGTTAATTGCACTAAAAATTGTACTAGTGACGGTAATACACCGTAATATGAACACTCAATACCGTAGTGTTACTATATTACTATTTAAAAATACATTTTGTTACTGTTAAATGTACGGACTATTTTGCTGCAAATGGAAATATAACGTATTATGGCATTCACAGCAGGTCCTGTATTCTTTGTATTTATTATTTGTGCAAAATACAGTTTAGAACTGTTAATTGCACAAAAGATTGTACTGAATATATATAACAGGCAATACTGCAATGTTTGCAAGATTATCTGTAAAAAAACTATTAAGTCAAGGTTACATTTTCCACTGTGCTGAATACAGAAATACTAATAGATAAGAAATAATAGAAAATATAAATACAGTCACCACTGTAAGTGTATTAACCATTGTGCTAATAACAGAAATATACCGTGGAGAAGTTAACATGGGTAACATGCGTATATTAATGGATATATTAATCATTCAGATTTTTGTGGAAAGACAGTTTGAGAGATACAGAGACAGAGAGACAGATTGAGAGAGAGACAGACGGAGAAAGGGAGACAGATTGAGGGATATAGAGAGAGACAGAAGGAAAGAGACAGACATGAGAGAAGGGCAGAAGTGTGGCAGTGTTAAAAAAAACACAACGTTAGAAGATTGAACTTTTCAACTCCACTTCAGCGCCATTTCTACGCACTCTGCATTGCTGGAACGGCCTGACGGACTCCGGGCTGCATTTCTTCTTGAGGTAACTTGCCTACATACATCATCTAAGCTATATTTTAATGTGATGCTATGTTTTCCATAATTTTGCATCACCGTTATTTGTAATAACGTGATGTAACGTTAGGTTATGGGTTTCTGCACTGAACGTTAGCTAGCTAGCTAGCATTAGTTTACCAAACATTGGCTAGGGAAATGTTTCAATGTAATTACTTTGGCAGGTCGGTTAAAACACCAAGGGGTTATGTGCTTCATTTCAAACTTCATAGAAATAAACCACGTTGTTTGTTTAAGCGCGTTTAAGCTGGTTGCAAAGAGACCTTTGTTCGACATGGAGCATTTAAGGCTCATTTCTACCGGACACATATTGTTAACTTATCAGCTTCTGTGAACGTTACTGTAAGGACAGCTCTCAAATGCGGTGTGGCGTTATGTGAACGTCACTGTCAAAATACAAAACAGCTAATGGCTCATTTGAAGGAGCATCTCTTGGAAGGACGCGTGAGTTGTCGAGTAAGTGGATGTAAAAACGTTTTCTTGGTCAAATCCTCATTCACCGCTAACATGTCACACAAAATGTATACAAAATGTATAATTGATGGGATTCATTATATGTGCAGTTATCCTGGTTGTTAAAAAATTAACCACATAAAACATGAAGCTAAGTCTTGATTGAGTCTTAAGAGTGAATGTCATGCTGTCAGTCCAGCAGGTCCCCCTGTGTTTGTTTGTTTGCTTTGCCTGTGTGTCCCCTGTCTCTGCAAGGAGGTGTGGTCTTCCCCTGTTCGTCCCGAAGGGCGTGGCTGGAACAGCTAGCTGACAGCAATCAGCCATCAGGGGACTCTCCTACATCAACCCGGGTCTTCCTGCCATTCAGCGCCAGATCGTTCTGTTATCAGAGTGGTAACTACGTATTCATGCCATTTGGCTATTAGACGCTGTCTTTGTTCACATGGTCCTGTTTTTTGCCACGTTGATGTCTATGTGCTAAAATGAGTCCTCTTTTAACATTCAGCCTGACTGGTATTAATTTTGATTAACTATAAAGTGGAATTATATTCAGAGTGTTTGTTTGTTCTAGGTCATTGAAGCTCAGTTAAACACAAGTAGGCAGTGAATGTGTCTCTGCTCAAGCAGTGCATCAACCTAACGTTGCCTATGTTTCTGTTTTTGGGCTACAGAGAGGATCCTCCCAATCCGCAGTGAACACCTGAGGATACAAGTCCTCAAGCAGAAGTCCCGAACCGCTCCGCTTTCTGGATCTTGATTTACAATAAGCTTTATTTAATATTTCCTGATGTTGACTGAAATATATGCCAACCAATTGTAATACAGTATGCCTTATTTTTTTGCAATGGAATTCTGGAAAATACAGTTGCTGGCAATTTGCTGTAACTGTAATAAAATACCGTAACTCAAACAGTTGTACTGTGTTTATCTCTGAGAAGAGCTTCAATTAGGTTCACAGAATAAATGCTGTTTTTAAAAAACATACCGTATTGTCTTATACAAACAAAACGATAATTTACCGTATAGTTCACGGATTTCTTTTTATGGTGTATCCGTTTTTTTAATAGTGGTTTTCCCTAAACAAAACGGTTCTCAACTGGGATTTTTACGGGGGCAAAAAAACATACCGTAATGTCTTATACGGTGTAACTTTTTTTTTTACGGTAAACTTCTGGCAACCACAGCTGCCAGTAATTTACCGTATATTTTACGGATTATTTTTTGCAGTGTACCACTGTCCAAATGAAACATGGAGACTCATCAATCAACAATTGTACTGAGCTGAGAACTGACTGTACAATCTTTTATCTCGGAATGTGAATGTGAATGGGCACGGCTTGTTTGGTTTTCTCTCCGTGTCACGTCTGCTTGCCCTTTGGTCAGACGGTTTCAACGAACGTGTTTACTTCCTGCACCAAAACAGCCAAAGCCGTCTTTTCATTGAGGTCCTCAACAAAGGCAAGATTTCTCATTCATACATCTATAATAAGAACATTTAAGCAATAAATCATTTTACAAAGGTATTTATTTCAGTCTTTCCATTTGCCCAGGATAATTTATGCAAGGTGGTCCGACTTGTGTCGTAACTACAACGGAATGAAAGAAAATGAGCTGTAGACCGTTACGTTGGTGGAGCTGCGTCAGGACATATTAATAACTCAGCCTTTCTTTCAATACACATTTTTGCTGGTGTGAAACGGCTTCGGGTATTTTATCAACTGCTCGGTGTGTTCGTTTAAAGGTGAGAAAATACTCAGCAGAGAGGAAAGTCAAGATTACAACATGCCGGGATGGTCCATCCCTTTGAATGTGGACTTTATACGAGGTACACCCAAGCCAACAAATTGCGATACACCACCTTCTTACATGAGAAAAAGTCAGTTTATTGCACCCATAAATTTGTTTTTATAGACGCTGGAAATACTTTTACAGATCACCATCAATGAGTGAAAAAAGCATCAGTCCACTCTGCAGCCTCACCTGTTATGGCCACATGGACGACAAAGATCCTCAGATTTAAAAGCCAGATTAGGCCTCAATTCTAAATATTATTACACTGTGTAGAAAAGTATCAGATCAATAAATACCAAACTAGACCTCACCTCATCCATAAGACATTTAACTAGCTGGACTTAAACAATTAAACAAGGAGGTCATGACGTCACTTAGACTTAAAGATAATTTGTATGTAAATACCTTCACAGAATTATTCTCAGCCATAACACGAGGTAAATAAAATGCTGAGTTTAATGTATTTTGACTCAGAAAGGTCTCTCTGGAACTGAAAGGAAGCTTGAGATCTCTTTTGTTCAGCAGCATTGTCACATTTCTCACGCTGTCCGGTTCTTCTGCTCCTGCGGTTCAACCTCAAAGCCGTCATTGCAGTAAGGATTTAGGTCAGTGGGCGCAGAGGAATTCCTGATCCTGGAGCAGATGAGTCTGTAGAGTGCCACCAGAGGGATGGGAATCACAGGTAGAACACTCAGGAGGATGATTATGGAAAACACCCAGTCAGGATATTGCTTTTGTTCAGCTAGGGGAAATTGATCCTGGGGGAAAAAAAGTCAAATGCGTGAGTAATGTAACAGTGAGAGAATTGTGTTATTGTTTGAACTTTTCAAAAATGATTCCTTTATCTGTACATGTAAATAAAGGTACACTGAGCAAACAATGAGCGTAGCTTAACCAGACCTCACTTAAAGTCACTTTGCCCAACTAACTTCAGAACATATCTCAGATGTAGTAACTTCTCGACGTCTCAGTGTGAATACGGCCAAATTGCTTACATGGGCCGGGTTCCACGCGGAATACGAGGGGCGTGTCTGTGCCTGGATGGCCACGTAGGCAACCAACACCACCAGAAGCATTAAGGGACTGATCACCATCCAGCACGCCTTCCAGTATAAGTTGGGTCTCTTCCCGGTCATGAAACAGATGTCTTCACTGAACCTGCGAGAGAAATCGGTTCACGCATCTGGATGCCAATCAACACAAACCTGCAGACTACATACGAACGGTATCAAAGTTTACTTTTTCATTCCACGGCCATAAACAACTGCAGTGATCTCGAAGAAGGCAATAACGAGCAGAGGTACGGAGCCCACGTAGCTGTCAAAGATCGCCACCCAGTAGTTCCCCGAACCGAGGGTGAAGATGAGAGCCGTTAAGAAGGACGCCAAGCAGAGGCCCGCTAGAGGGAGTGAGGGGAAGTTTTTTTAGTTAAATTTTAAAGCGGAAAGCCGGCATCCCGTTGACTGTAGAAAAACCTAAGCTTATTTGCGTGTACCTGTTATGAGTTCTTTAGGGATCCACCTGGGGAACAGTTTGAGGTCGTGAATGGGCGTGAGGACTCCCTCTATCAGGCCAAACATGGAGGACAGGCCCAGGCTGAAGAGCATGACGAAGAACAGGATGGCCCATATCTGTGAGCCCGGCATACTGACCACGGCCTCGGTGAACACAATAAATACCAGGCCGGTACCTGATGCGCTCTGGCGGAGATGGAGATGAAAGGCAAGCACAAAAGTAATGAGTTTGCATGAACGGAGTGTACATGTTTGACCGGTACATGATGTGCCGCATTCCAGGGAGAGAAAGGGGAGGCAAAATCACGATACCTCGTCGAGGAATGTCTGCAGGTCACATTGTCTCAGGTCCAAACTGGCCACCTCACTTGGAGACGTGCGATTCAGATACTCCACCCAGTCGACGTAGTTGTCTGCTGTTATGTTCTGGTCGGAAAACTCAAACTTGTTGGTCAGAGCCAAGATGTTTCTGTAGATGGAGTACCAAACGAAGTAAGCCTCATTAGCGAGCAAAAACAATGTATTTATATAGTAATAACAGGTGTGCGTACGTACTCCATCCGGCACGAGTTGAAAGCGGTGTTAGCTTTAAAGCCCAGAATGGAGAAGATGGGAATGCAGGAGTAGATGGAGGTGGCACTATTTATTACTCCTACTAGAACAGCGTCCCTCTCACAGTTGTTCCTAATTGACACGGAGCACAATAGAAAGTCTCACAAATTCATCCAATTTTTTTGAACTAGGGAGTGCAGGAGCTTTAGTCCGTACTTCTCTGCGTTATAGCTGGAGAAAGCTATGAGACCTCCAACGCCCAAGGAGAGCGAGAAGAAGATCTGGGTGGCAGCGTCCAACCACACCTGAGGGTTCTTCAGTATCTCCCACTGCAACACACACACACACACACACACACACACACACACACACACACACACACACACACACACACACACACACACACACATCATCAGGTCATCGTGTCCTCTGACATTGCGCAGTCAAGTGGTCGAACTCACATTCGGGGTGAAAAGGTACACCAGCCCATCAGTTGCTCCGGGAAGAGTGAGGCCGCGGATCAGGAAAATAGTCAGCACCAGGTAAGGGAACGTGGGACGTCACGTACACAGCCTGAAGCACAGGACGCAGCCTGTGTTAGCTAGTTACTTCTCACCGTGAACGACAAATAGGGCTTTTTCACGAGGTCATTCCCCAGATACAACAAACCTTTCCGATGGAGGAAATGCCTTTGATGAAGCAGATGTAGACCACACACCAAGCGCTGGCCAGACAGATGACAAGCCACCAATTCAGGGAGCCGCTGGTCTCGATGTTGTCTGTGATTTTCAGGGTCTCGCGGTACCAGAAGTAGTTTGATGGAGTGCTCTTCACACATTCCACGTTATAGCCTATATGGATGTATACCAGAGGTGAAAAAAAAACATGAAATGCTAAAAGGGTTTAAAACTTTGCGTTAACTTTATTTGAGTTCAAATATAGTATAGGGACGTGTTTATGCCGTGTTTACTGTCCACTATCCGTCACCAAGCAAAAGCATTCTCTCCAAATTCTATGTTGTGCTGCAATAAAACAGTTTAAAAAATCACAAGATCTCCTATTAAATGTGACCTGAAATGCCACTTATAGCCTGATAGTCCGCTTGCATTTTGTAACTTTATCATAATTTATCATTTAGTAAATTCTCGAATCAAATCGGGAAGACTCTTACGCATCCTATTAAATGCAAAACGGTGCCGCTATGGTAGAAGTAAAGGCTGTGTGACAGAAGTGAGCGGCCAGAATGGCGGGCAGGCCCTCTAGTTACCTGTGAGGTTAGCGTCCAGTGGACACTGGCTCCACGGCAGGGGGTTTTGGAACGAGTGGAATAAGTACCAGAAGACCCAGGCAAGAATGGTGTTGTAGAAAAGGCTCACCAGGAACGACACCAACATGGAGGCAATTCCTGCAGGCGTTTTCCAGACCAGAAGAAGGAAGAAGAAATCAGCTGCAGAAGATCTGACAAACGCAAATGCTTATGTATCTTTCCTGATAATTTTGGGGCACACACCAACTCCTCCCAGTAGAGGAGAGATGGAGTTCCAGACCCCGATGCTGCCCATGCGCAGCCTCTGTCCTACAGCCATCTCCAGGTAGAGCAGGGGGATGCCCTCGAACACCAGCGCTATGACGTACGGGATGAGGAATGCGCCTGAAGGCAACAGTTAATAAGTGCTGAGGGTTTTCTAAATGTTCTGAGACAAGTTGATGTAAACTGTTAATAAGAAAATCATATTAAAACCTCCGTTGCTCTACACGTCTAAAAGCACTAAACAAAAGGCGTCAGTAAGTCGGGGTCAAAAAAAGTGTCAGCGTGAGACCTTTTACTGCCTGCGGGAATCAGGAATCCAAAAATCAATATGTAAAGTTGATAGACGTATGTACATTTAACAGACTTGCTGTTTACCCGACCTGAGCCTGAACCAGGTCCTCTAGGACTCTTCGGGTTATGGGAACAGGGGCTCACAGAGGATTATGAGAAAAATACAGGAATTGCTGAATTTAAGTACAAACAATTTCTGACGTTCAAACATTCACCAGTCCATTTGTTAAT